GATCTGGTAATTGAGGCACATCTTGACCCGGCCGAGCTGGTCCCGGTTACGACACACCAGGCCCTCCTCCAGCCCGCACAGCACCACCTGTCCCAGCTGCTGCAGGGGGACATCGGGCAGCATCTCGGCCCGGCACTGCAGGGCCACCGGCTTCTCACAGAGGGTCCCGCCAGCCGCCCGGATGTTGGCAAATGTCTCAAAGTCCCCGCCGGAGTCCCCGGGCATCGGGAAGCTCTGGTCCATCCACTCTGTCCAGGCGCAGCGAGGCTGACAGGTAGTGGGCTCGGTAGCCGACGTCGTTGGGCTGGATGGTAGGGTGGTTCCAAAGTTCGTACCAGTGGGCAGGGACCCTGGGGAGGTCTGTGTGGAGATGGTCTTCAGTGCTTCTGTTCTGGGGGCACTAGGCGAGAGACCCATGAAGGTTGTGGTCAATGGTGTGGTGGTGGTGGGGCAGTGACGCACGAGGTCACAGCAGAACACGCGGATATTGTAGTTGAAGCACATATTGAACGGGCCCTTCTGGTCCTTGTTTCGGCACACCAAGCCGTCCCGCAGGCTGCAGGTGACCACCTGTCCGATCTGGTCGATGCTCACCTCGGGGTAGCTCTCTGCCCGGCATTCGATCTTCTGCGGCTCCTGGCACATCTTACCGCCAGTAGCCCTGATGTTTTCGTAGGTCTCCATGTCTCCACCTGTGACCCCCGAGGTAGGGAAGTCCACGTCAAACCATTCGGTCCACTCACACTTGGCTTGGCAGCCAGTCGTCTCCTGGGTGGTTATGGCCTCTGTGGTGGTCCCCGGCTTGTGCGTTCCCCACGGTGTCTGTGTTCTCGGTGTGCTTGTCCCAGTGTGTGAGGGGGATGGTGGGCTCATGGTGACCGTGCTGGTTGTTTCCTGTGGTGCTCTCGTTGTTGGGTGAGCCGCGGAGGTTCGCCTGGTGCTTTTCTGTGGGGTGCCTCCTGTGGTCCCTTGCGGGGTTGTGCGAGTTGGAAGGACTGATGTGGCCCCGCCTGGTGTGGTGGGCTTTGTGGAGACTGGAGGAGACGACGTGGGGCTCCTTGTGGCAGATGTCATGTGCGTGTCTGTGTGGCTGGGGTTTGGAGATGTTGATGGGGACATTGGTCCCGTCGAGAAGAAAGGCACTGCTGTGGTGCTTCCCAGGGCGGTCTGTGTGGCCTGTGGTTTGGTGCTGGTGGCAGTGGTGGTGATGGCGGTGGCGGTGGCGGTGGATTGCTCCCCACAGTGGTCTTGGCTGCAGCACAGCACACGGATTCTGTAGTTGAGGCACATCTTGAACAGGCCCAGCTGCTCATCATTGCTGCAGACGAGGCCAAGGTTGGGGTCGCAGTGCACGCGCTGGCCCAGCTCCTCGGGCCTCCTGTTGGGGAAGTTCTCTGCCTGGCACTCTATGTCCTGGGGCTGCTGGCACACAGCTCCTCCCGCACTCCTGATCCTGTCATACGACTCGATGTCACCTCCGGCCTCCTCGGACTTGGGATAATCCGTATCGAACCATTCTGTCCACTGGCATCGGGGCTGACAGGTGGTGCTGGTCGTCCTGGTCGGGATTGTGGTAGGAGTAGCAGGTTGGGTCTGTGAGGTAAACGCCACCGTCGTCTGGAGGGTAGGGGTGGACAGGGCCTTGTGAGTCGGCTCCTGGCTTGTGCCCAGGCCTGAGGGAGTGCTGCAGGGTACAAATTCACAACACAGGACCCGCAGCTCATAGTTGTGGCAGAGTGGGGGGCTCTGCTCGCTGTTGAGACACGTGAGCCCCTGCTCCAGGTCGCACGCCACCTTCTGGCCCAGCTGCTGCAGGGGCATGTCGGGGAGCTCCCGTGCCCTGCACTCGACACCGGCCGGGACCAGGCAGACCTGGTAACCCCTCTGCCTCAGGTTCACAAACGTCTCGAAGTCCCCACTTCCCATGTCAGGCTCTGGACGCTCGCTGTCATACCAGGCAGACCAGCGGCAGATCTGGTGCACACACACAGTGGAGTGGGTGGGGCCTGGGCCTGTGGGGGCGAGGGCAGGGAATGCTGTGAGCCTGCTTTGCACAGGAGGTAGGGTGACCCATGTTCCCTTGCCCCAGGGCCGGTCCCCAGGCCTCTGTAGCACTCCCGTCCATCTCTAATGCCCAGGACACCTGTGCCAAGTGTCTGCTGGGTCTTCCGTCATCACCCAGAGGGCCAGGCTTCCCCCAGGTCAGCTTACCTGTTGTGGAGGGCGGTACTGTGGTTGGGGTAAAGGTGAAGGGCGTGGTGGACAAGGTGCTGGGACATTCCACGACCTTTCGGATGATGGTTCCATTGTTTCCACAAATGGCAATCAAGCAGGCGCCGTGCCCGTCCGTCGTGTTGTAGATGACGTCCCCGTAGCTGTAGGTCTTGTCCCCATAGGTACACCTGCAGGCTGGGGGACATTGCAGGTACAGGGCTCAGTGGAGCCCCAGCTCCCAGCCCGCAGCCCCCTAACCAACCTGTTCCCTCCTTACCCTCGAGGCTGTGTGTGCACTGTAGGCCACTGGGGGTGCATTCACTGCGGGGAGGACAGAGAAGAGCTGAGGGCCTGCAGGGCCCAGGCCGACACCCCCATCCCAGCCCCTGTTCCGCCTGCTCCCTCTGCCCCCCTCACCAGCTCTCGCAGTTTTCAGCTGTGGGGACCCTGGTGCCCACTTCATAGTACTTTCCGTCCTGGTCGTAGCAGCCACACTGGGCCACGCACTTCATTTGGTCCTCGTTGAAGAATGGCTTGCTGGGCGGACACTTTGGGTAGCAGCCTGGGGCGGGCATAGGACGGGGAGAAGACTCACCTTCTCGGACAGGTAGTCAGTGCTGCCTGGGACGGCCGCCCACCTGTGCCTCCTTGTCCCGGGGTGTGGTGTGCAGGTGGCAGGGGCCCCCCCGCCCTGGTGTCTGTGTGACGTCCTGGGGTGAGGCGGTGTGGGTTCCCGGGGTCAGCTGGCTTCTCACCTTCCAGTCCTGGCAGGTCCATCAGGCAGTGTCCACTGGGGTTCCGGCAGGTTTTCAGACAGGGGGCCCCGCAGGCCTGATAGTGCCACTCGCACTCTCCGTGGGGGTTGTAGTAGTCGCAGAACAGGGCTGAGCGTGGAGGACAGAGGCTAAGGGCGCCCGCCAGGCCCCTTGTCCCCTGGGCACGCGGGGGAAGCGCCAGGCTGCGTGTGGCCGGGCTTGTCCCAGGAGTCTCGGGCCCACCCCTTGCTTTCCTGTTTTACTTCTCAGCTCTGAACTCAGACTGCCTGTCTCTCTCTGAGTCACCTCATTTTGGGATGACCTGTGTATCTGGTTTATATGGACACATACGTGCACACACGTGTAGTGCATGTGTTGGGCCTCCGCCATACACGTGTGTGGGTCAAGCCCCAGGGCCCAGGGCCTCTCCGCGTCCTCCCACACTCGCCCGTCAGCGCCACGGACAGAGCCCGACTCACGGCAGAGGTTCGGGGTGCGCCAGGACACACACACGCCCACCTCCTGGCAGGCCTGGGCGTACGCAGCCACGGCGGTGCAGAAACACTCGCAGTCACCCCCTGAGTCGCAGGCGCACGCGTCGCTCACGCAGGCCTCGTAGTACTTGGTGGAGTCAACCTGGGGGCGGAGGGCCAAGGGGCCACTCAGCAAGGAGAGCTGACGTCCCACCCGTGTCGGGGACAGCAGCGCACCTGCCATTTGAGGCCCGTGACTTCTGCAGCTGGAAGGCTCCTGCCCACCTGGCACCTTCATGCGTGCCCCTGGTCCCCGCTCTGACTTCACTGCTGCCCCTTGTCCCTTGCCTCTGCTCAACATCGTACTCAAGTGCAGACCAGCCTTCCCTGCGACCATGTGGGGACCCCGTCCTGACAAATGGGGGCTACTGTGTCCTTGGGATGAGGGGCGCTGCCCCCCAGCCACACTTCTTCCTCTCTGGCTGCAAAGCCCAGTGGACCCGTCTCATGGGCAGCACCGCCCGAGGTGGGGGTCGCACATCAGGCTCACAGAGAACATTCTGAGTCAGGGGAGGACACCGAGGGGTGCGGTCGGTCGGGGGTTGGCAGGCATGCTGGGGCAGCTCGCCCTCCCCCCACGAGCACTGCTTTAAGAGACCATGTGGGTGAGCAGGCACTGGGGTCCTTGTTCACAGGAAGGACCCCTGGGGAGCCTGAGGCTGATTCTGGTTCTCTGTGCCATGTGGCCCAGCGGGGGTCAGCAGGCCAGGGACTGTGGGGAGGACCGGGTTGGGGACAGGGGCTGACACAAGGGCCTGGATGGCTCACGGCCCTGTGTCCAGGAGAGGACGCTGAGCGGTTGAGGGGAGCAGTGAGGTTGCTCTGTGCCAGAACTGGGGACATGGGCACCTGCCTGGTGGGAGGTCCAGGCGGTGTGCCCTGTGAAATGGCCAGCATGAAGACCGCCCTCTGAGGCCCAGCCCAGGCCAGATTCAGCCCCACCCCACCGGCCCTGAGACCTTGCCCTCAAAGCCCAGAGCCACCGCCCGTCAGCCCACCTGAGAACGACAGGCGGCGAAGGTGGCACCGTTGATGACACTGCATTGCTTCTGGGCCCAGGACTTGCGGTATGGGTTGGCGGTGCAGGGGTCCCTGGGGGCCGGCACGTCCGGGCAGGACGGGGAGAATTTCCAGCTGTTGCCAAACTCCAGCACGTCACTCACCACGGACCGGCTCCGTGTGGTGAAGTCATTGACGGCATTGTCATCGAAGTTCCCGCACAGCCCGCAGACCCTCCCCTGCAGACACAGACATATGGGCACATGGGGCTGGGGCTGCAGGGGACAGCCTGTCCTGGGAGGGGTGACTGCAGGGCACCCGACTCCCCCAGGCAGTGCCCAGTGAACTTGCAGGAGGATGGGGTGCACAGTGGGTCCCGCGGTGGACAGGTGGGCAGGCAGGCAGGCAGGAGTCCAGGTAGGGTGGTGGGCAGATGGGCAGGTGGGCAGATGGGCAGGTGAGCAGGTGAGCAGAT